TATAGATAGAAATGAATGTTCAAGACGCGCCAAAAAATGAAAACGGGCCTGGGTCGCACGAGTCACGGCTCAAGCACCAGAAGGGTGCCAAGTGAACGACGTTGTCATAGCTCGAACGCTAGTTTGGCGCCAAGCTAGGCACCGACTTTCTGTACAAGATTTTGACAGTGTCACTCAAACGGTAGGCTAGCGATCAGCTTGCAAAAAAAACATTGAAAATTTCTCCTTGGTCCATACCTTGACTCTTCAAATCTAACACAAACTTCAAACTCCCAACTAGGCTTCCAAATAAAATTTCAATTAGAATTTGTCAAATAGGATTCCAAAATAGCATTCTAAAGAGAATTCTTTTTTAAGTCGACTTTAATAGAAGTCTCAATCATCTTCCAAATAGAATTCGAATCACACCCTAATTCTACATAAGTAAAGAAAATGAAGAAAAAAAATGTTGGTCATAATTATTTATGGAAATTAGCAAAATAAAGAGTGACATATAGTGTATTGTATAATTCAGTCACTATTTTTAAAAAAATTAAGATATTCTTTATATTACAAAATATGAGAGCATGATCAGAGATGTTCTAATGATGTTCTCCCTGATTCATTATTTATTTCTATTTTTATCAGTTTTTACATGATTTCACAATTACGTTCGTACTTGAATTGTTTGGAATATTTTGTTTCAACCTCCATTTCGCAATCAACTCATAAACGATATATAAAATTAGTGAAAATTAAAATTTCATAACCATATTCATAATTACTATTCACACACTCACGAGACTCTCCATTATCTTTATAAATTGACTCATGAGGCACATAGTTACAGCTTGAGGCACTGAGGTTGATGCAGTAAAGGAAGATCACCAATTGGTTTTGACCGACTAAAGTAGGAGAGGTCCACATGTTTTTAAGATTGGTTGGTTGTTAAAGAAGAATTATTGAAAGGTTTGCAAAAAATGGTTGTACCAATAAGCCAGTTAACAAAGATGAATTTCAAGTTTTAGTAGACTAATAAGTGCTAGCAAAGCTTAATGTATGCTCTAGTACTAACTATTGTACAAGGAATGTAAAGGTTTTCTTTATTTACCTTAACGCATCGAAGCAAGGCTTGGCATGCGGCACGACAAGGTTGTTGCTTATGTGCCTTGATAAATAAAACATTATAAGCATAATTATCTAACCCATTTTTTAGAATTGGTAGCAGTGGCAGTAGTGATCCATGCACTAAAGACTTGGAGACTATCACCATGGAGGCATTATCTAAAATGAGTTAAATATGAGGCAATGTGGCTCGAGCCAATCAATGACCACGAGTGTGCATTTCACTATCATCTCAAGAAAGCTAATGTAGTTGCTATAGCACTGATGAGAAAGATAGTAGGACAAGAGGCAGTCTTACGTACTATTTAGAAGTAGTTATTGAGAGACAAACAATCTCGGAATTTCAGCACTCTTGGTAAAACATACTTTATGGCTTGCATCATGGAGTCTCGGAAGAAGAGAGCCAAACTTACAATGTATTGAAGAAGAAATCGACACTCTGAAAAGGGCTGACCCTTAAATTTTGGATTCCCGGTATGACATTTTAAAATGCTATCCCTTTCGTGTAATTAAAAACATATATTAAGGAAAAAAATATTTCAATAATATTATTTCATTGTAAAAATATAACATTTAAATATTTGCTTCTTTTTTTTTTTACATGTCATGAATAAAAAAAAGTACAAGTAAAGTTCAAAAGCAACGCCCAACTTCATCAAAATATATATGTCATCTACAAAGAACTGTCTAAGCCACTAACCTCTTCGTGCAATTTCATACGAGCAAATCTTGAAATAAAAAATAGCGAATACCATTTTTAAGCCTTAAAATGCAACAAATCATGTAAAAATATTTCTTCTTGCATTTCTAGAAGCAAATTAACCTACTAATTAAACTTTCGTAGTCAATATATTTTAGCAAACCTTGTTCAATAGATAGCTGGCTCATTCAATTATTCTTGTAATATGGTTGATCGCAAATAAGATTTTAATAACTTCAATTTTGAAAAACTTCTTTTGACATATGCAACAGTAATATGAATTATCTATGGAATTCTATAAGCAATAAATGTATTTGGAAAGCAATCCGATTTTTTCAAATAAGTCAATATATCAAAAGTTTTCTTTATTTCTTTGGATTAAAGATATTGCAAAATTTTTAACTTTTAAAACAAATCTTTGTCATCAAGTTTGCAAAAAATTGCATGTCATAGAACAATGTCAATATGATCACTAGCTATCTCTTGATTTTATGTCACGATTATCCCAAATTCTTGTATAATAGATGTTGAAAGGAGTGGACGTATTATGAATTAAACCATCTACATCTTCGTTATTATCATTTATGTTAGGAGATTCATCATCAACATCTTCACATATCTTTTCTTAGAAATTTTATCATCAACATTGTCATTTTCATTTTGTCTTAATTCCTCAGCATCTTCATTTTCATCATTTTCACTTTTACTAGTTCCAAGTACTTGGTCCATATTTTTCGCTTCTTTAAAAATAAATCTATGAAGAGCGCCTTTTTGAGACTCTATCAACTCCTCAATTTTTCTCTTTTTCATTTGTTTTCCGAATTTTGATTGTTGTTTTTGAGGATACATTTTAAAATTTTATTTTATGGTAACAATAAAAATTATAATAAAAGTATATAAAGTTCAAAAGAGATTTGAAAAAAAAAGGAAAAAAAAAAAAGATAGCACCTAATTAAAGATCGAACTGGCAAAAGCTTTATAAGCTTAATTAAAGCTATCTTGAATCTTCAAAAACCTAAGTACCACCAATCAAATGGAAGTGTAGAAGAATTAGGAATTATAAGAAATAAAATAATATTAAATAAGAGACATTATTTGTTTATTTGTCTTATCACTTATCCTTTCAGAACAAAAAATATGAAATAGTAATTAACGAGTGGACAACCAACACCAATAGAAAGACGATGTTACGAGATTGTATTATTGTATAGCAAGCAACAAAGACGAATGGTAGAGTTTCTTCTCTTGTCTATTTGATGATTTTTCGTGGGTTAAAGCGTGGAAGAGAGAGAAATGACGAAAAAGGATGCTAGGTTAGTTTTTCACTCTTCACTTTAATCACTTGAATCTTTGACTGTTTATTGTCTTGTTGGATCAGTAATTGGTAGGACTAGTAAAATAGATAGTTTCATTTCATTTTTTTTTGGAAAATAAGATAGTTAAAACTTGAAAAATAATTTTTTTAATAATATGTTAAATTAAAAAATATTAATATAAATATTTGTACTCTTTTTTATAAATATTTTGTCCTTTAACTTAACATAATAATAATTTAAAATTTTAAAATTAATAAAACATTTTAAATATGTAATTATAACAAGAATGTTTTGGTGCCCTTACAATGACGCCGCCTTATGCAACCGCTCAACTTTTGCCTCTGACTGTGAAATGGAAGGATTACATGAGCTTGTTCAATAGTGATTTTGAGAATTAATTTTTTGACAGTTAGAGAGAAAAGTGGGTCTTACCTGTGAGAGAAGAAGTAAAAAATGACCACTGAAATAATAAAATAACGATTAAAAAATAATTTTTTGGGGAGAAAAATTAATATCAAACATGCACATCTCGAGACAAAGCCTTGTACTTTATATGCAAATTATATGTGACCGATCAAAAGGATCTAAAGAAAGCAAGTTTGGGGGCAGCTCACAACAGTCAGAGTACCAACATTCGAAGATCATTTTTCTTGTTTGGTGATCTTAATGCTAATTAACGATTTTTATCAAAGTCTTGAAGATAACATTTATGTTGATGGAGGCTTGGCAAGAGATCAGTAAAGCTTTAGGAATTTTTGAGGTCATCACCTGTTATGTCTCACTAACGTATCAAAGTAGGTCTAGGCATTTTAATCGAAACCAAAACTCTCGAACCGAAACAGAACGGGAATAGAAGGTTTCGGTCCGGTTCCCCGAAAAAATAAATTAGGAAATGGAATGAGGGTTCGATTCGGTTCTTGGTTCCTAAATCAGAATCGTGGGTACTCGAATGAACCAATTTTTATAAAAAAAAAAATTATTTAAAATTTATTGGTTGGAAAAAACATATAAAACCTAGAGATCCTAATTTTGGTAATAACTAGTCTAAAACTTTAAACTCCAACCTAAAATAATAAGATTGATTCTTACTTTTTTACATTTCACCTTACATCAGAATGTTGTATCTCGGAGGTTATGATATGTTAATATTTACAATTTGAGCTTTTTATAAATAAAAAATTTCAAATAGATTATAATATAAGTTCATGAATCAAAGCGTTCATTCTTTTGCAATCCAAGCTTTTTACTTTCTTGTATCATTAATAAATTTAACTGATTTTTTAATTATTTCATGATGCGTGGTAATTGAATTTGATATATTCATTGCTCATGTCGTGTTGTACCTTTTTGTTATCTTGAGTTCGTGATTCTCTTTTTAAATATTTATTTTTTATTCAAAAAGGGTAAGTTCAATATGTAGACAGTAATTTTTTGATACTATATTAACTATTTATTTATTTATTTATTTATATCAGTTGGTTTTACAAGTAGAAGAATTCAAGCATTGTTCATAATTAAATTACATGCCTAGTATGCATCTCTTAGAGATCGAATAAGATTTATTAAGAAAAGTGATTTTCCTCAAATTATAATTTCATTTTTTATTTTTATTTTTCTCCTATTTTCGTGACTTTTAGTATCCAATATTTTGCTTTTTGAAGATTTTTTAACTGGATTTTCTCCATTGCACATATATTTTCAAGTAGCAGCGTATTATGTATATGTACAAGGGGTTTATGTGAAATATTTATTAAATAAATGTATATAAAAATGTTATGGGTAGAACTGAAATTGAATCGGAGCCTACGATTTGGGTTTGAGTTTGGTTCCAGTATTTACAAAGATCGGAATGGTTTCATTTGCGAAATACCCAAAACATAATGGGTGATTCTGGGTATTTCAATGCCCGGACCGACCCACCTGATGCCCAGGCCTATATCAAAGGCACAAAATACACTCCGATGTTTTCGACCCCTCATCTCGTGCAAAAAGTACCAATAATGTCCTTGAAGGTCGTGCAAACTAGACCAAATTCGGAAAATAGCAAGCGAGAAATATCGTAAGTTTCCTCTAATCGCTCGCAGGTGCAAGCCATTAGTAGTGTTTGTTTGCTCAATCGAGCAAACTCAAATTGTATGCCGTTTCTTTCCTTTTGTGCCCTCTCATTTTAGCATGTCGTCTTGCCTTGCTCCTACTTGCAAGCAAAGTCAGTAGCATTGCTTCCCTTCTTCTTATTCTCTCTTGCAGAATAAGAAATCCATCAAGCCCAACAAATACACAGCATCAGTAACAAATCTGTCATGTGGCCCATTTTCACCAGCAGCTGGCCATCTAAGTCCTGATATGCAAAAGACAATTTCTGATACACAAGACTAGCTATCTACTGCAATTATAACAGAATAATGTGATGTGTAATTTTTTCTTTTGCTGCATGTATAGAGTTGGTTAGGTTGGAATATTCCTTTTGTCTCCTCTATGTGTATATAACGTAAGGTGCCTCTTGTGTATAATTCAATTTTTCAGTAAGTTGATGAATATAGAATGAGAATTTCTCTTCAATCATTTCAGTTCATTTCCTAATTCAGTGTTTTACATTTCATCATTTTCCCAAATTTACATGGTATCAGAGCTTTAATGGCGGCTCTTGAGAATACATCTTCACCTCCTATTGAAACTCCTCTCGAGAATACATCTTCTTTCCTTCAATCAAAGACCAACCAACATACCAATTTTGCAGACCCACTTAATCCTTTTTCGCCTTGAAACATCAGATAACCCAGGAGCAAATCTTGTTTCTGATCTGTTAACTACAAACAATTATGAAACCTGGTCACGCTCGATGCAGCGTGCTCTTAGAGCCAAGAACAAGCTTGGCTTCATCAATGGAAAAATTTCCAAACCTCTCAATCCGACAGATGATCTGTTTGAAGCTTGGGCAAGGTGCAATGACATGGTAATTTCTTAGATTCATAATGCTATCAGTCCAGAACTTCGGTCTAGTGTTGCCTTCATGGATGATGCCTCTGGGATTTGGAATGAATTGGCTGAACGCTTTTCTCTGCAGAATGCTCCACGTATTTACCAACTCAAAAGAGCACTGGTCAATTTGTCTCAAGAGGGAGATTTTGTTAGTGTTTATTATGGTAAACTAAAAGGTATTTGGGATGAACTTGCTATTTATGACCCAATTCCAGATTGTCATTGTGGAAAGAAAGCTTAAGGTATTGGTTGATAGATATCATAGAGACTGCACTTTTCAATTTTTGATGGGCCTAAATGATGTTTATGAACATACCCGAGACCAAATCATGCTTATTGAGCCACTTTCCCATGTCGATAAAGTCTTTTCGTATGTTCAACAGAAGGAAAGGCAACGACAAACTACCTCCACTCTTGCTGGTTCTGACTCTGTTGCCTTTTACACCAGAAACACCAATCCCAATTTTAAACCTCAAAACCCACAAAATACTGATCCCAATAAGGAAAGGCCATACTGCAAATTCTGTAAAATCCCTGGTCATCATTTTGAAAAGTGTTTTAAAGCTAGTAATGCAGAGGCACCAATTTGCAGCCATTGCAATATGACAGGACACATGGTAGACAGATGTTATAAGTTACATGGCTACCCAGCGAGTCATAAAATGCACAACAAGTCTAAGGGAACTGGAAAATTTGCTAATCATGTTTCTGTTCAGAGCATGGACATTAATGGGGAGGATAATTGTGATAGCGTTTCTTTGACCAAAGATCAATAGAATGACCTCATGGCTTTGTTCAAACACAAGGACTCTCCTACAACTTCACATGTGGCTAACCAGATTCAATCTCTGCTTCCTACTAGTTCTTCTAACTCTCAATCCACTCCTATGTCTGGACCTTGCATCCTGGACAACGATTGGGAAGGGTAGGATGGAGCGTGGCTTGTACTACCTACAGCTTGACGAGATCTCCCCTAAAGCTCTCCAACATGCCGTCTCTCGACTTTCTTGCAATTTAAATTTCTCTTCAGCTTTTGTAATCAACAAACTCACTGAGCATGAGTTATGGCACTATCGCTTAGGCCATATTGCAGATGCTAGACTCGGGCTTATAAAAGACTCGTTTGTAACTGCATCTTTAAACTTGAAGTCACAAACTTCTCTTCCTTGCTCTAACTATTATTTGGCTAGGCAACACAAATCTTCTTTTTCCTTAAGTGAGCACAAATCAGTTAATTTGTTTGAATTAATTCACTGTGACTTGTGGGGGCCCTATTCTGTCACTTCACATGATGGTTCTTCATATTTCTTATCCATCATTGATGACTTGTCACGTAGTACATGGGTATACATGCTCAAACACAAATCAGACACTAAGAAATGCCTTGTGTCTTTTACCAACCTAGTTAAAAATCAATTTGGAACTAGAATAAAAATACTTCTGAGTGACAATGGAACAGAGTTTCACCTTAATGATTTTTACTCCCAAAAGGGAATCATTCATCAAAAAACGTGTGTCGAAACCCCACAACAAAATGGAGTCGCTGAAAGAAAAAATCAGCATTTGCTTAATGTAGCACGAGCCTTATTGTTCCAATCTGGTGTTCCTGTCAAATTTTGGTCAGAATGTATCCTCACAGCTACTTACATCATAAATCGTACTCCTACTCCATTATTGCACAACAAGAGCCCTTTTGAAATTTTGTTTGGCGTCAAGCCTCAATACAACCACATGAAAGTGTTTGGTTGTTTAACTTTTGCTTCTACTCTCTCACAAGGCCGCAAGAAATTCGATCCTAGGAGCAGACCTTCCTTTTTTATTGGTTATCCTTTCGGCGTCAAAGGTTACAAGTTACTTGATTTACAATCTCACACCATCTTTATCTCTCGCAATGTCATTTTTCATGAAACGGCGTTCCCTCTTAAGTCTTCTACACCTATTCCTTCACATCAATCTTTCCCTAATCAACATGTTATCACAAATCCTATACCAGACAATTCTTCATTTTCTCTTTCTCCACCTACTTCTATTACCTCCACTCAATCTCCCATAATTCACTCAACCGATTCCCCTGCACCTCACTCTTCCGATTCTCCCATTTCTCACTCCAGTCCTACATCTTCTCCGCAAACAACATCTTCACCTGTTAGGCTTGTTGAACCATCTCTTCGCAGATCATGTAGGACTAGAAATGCTCCTCAATATTTACAAGATTTTCATTGTAAGCAAGCTGTTTCTACATAACCTGTACGAGCCACTTCCACCACTTCTTCTCCTTCACTGTCAAGGGTCAAGGGACAAATTTCAGTGAAGCTGTAAGGAGTCCCCATTGGGTTAAAGCTATGGATAATGAGTTGATGGCTCTTGAAATCAATAACACTTGGACACTCACTGATTTACCGCCTGGCAAGGAGGCAGTGGGTTGTAGGTGGGTTTACAAAATCAAATATCATGCTGATTGTAGTGTCGAGAGATATAAAGCGAGGTTGGTAGCTAAGAGATTTACACAACAAGAAGGAATAGATTATCATGAAACATTTTCCCCCGTAGCTAAGTTGGTTACCATTAGATCTCTTTTGGCCATTGTAGCCATTAAGGGGTGGCACTTGTATCAATTCGATGTTAACAATGCCTTTCTCCATGGAGATTTAGATGAGGAAGTGTATATGAAGAGACCACCAGGCTACGCTAAAGGAGAACACAAACAAGTTTGCAGGTTGAATAAAAGTCTTTATGGCTTGAAACAAGTCTCGAGACAATGGTATGCAAAATTTTCCAGTCTATTGATTCAATTTGGTTATATCCAATCAAAGGCAGATTACAGCCTCTTCACTCAAATTAAAGACTCTACATTCACTGCTCTCTTAGTTTATGTAGATGACATTATCGTGGCAAGTACTTCTATGAACTCTATTCATGCTTTACAAGCCTTTCTAAGTGATCAGTTTCAAATTAAAACACTTGGCGCTCTTAAATATTTTCTTGGCATAGAAGTGGCTCGATCAGATCAAGGAATACATATTTTTCAAAGAAAATATGCTCTTGACATCCTAGCTAACTCGGGTGCCCTTGGTGTTAAGCCTTTGAAGCTTCCAATGGACCCTAATTTGAATCTGAGCAAAACCACAGAGGAGTCTCTTACAGATCCTTCTATGTATCGCAGGTTGGTAGGGCGTTTGCTCTATCTTACTATCACCAGACCGGACTTGAGTTATGCAGTCCACAACTTGAGTCAATTCATGGATTCACCAAGGCTTCCACATCTTCAAGTTGCGAACAACATTTTGCGCTATTTGAAGAATGCTCCTGGCCAAGGGATTTTATTTCCCTCTTCATCTTCACTGACTTTACAAGCCTTCTGTGATTCTAGTTGGACCTCATGTCCTGACTCTAGAAGATCAGTGACAGGTTATTGCATTCTCCTAGGACAGTCCTTAATCTCATGGCGCTCAAAGAAACAGACCATTGTATCTCGATCATCTGCAGAAGCCGAGTACAGAGCCATGGCTAGCACTTGTTGTGAGATCACTTGGCTAAAATATCTTCTTCTTGATCTCCAGATTCCTCATATCCAACCAGTTGTGTTACATTGCGACAACCAAGCTGCCTTACATATTGCAGCCAACTCGGTGTTTCATGAACGCACAAAACACATTGAATTGGACTGTCATCTTGTACGAGATAAAATTCAAGAAGGCTCTATCATCACTAAACATGTTAGAACACAATTTCAACTTGCAGACTTGCTTACCAAAGCTTTACCTTCCTCTCTTCTCTTTGCTTATATGTCCAAGATGGGAATAGTTAACATCTATTCTCCATCTTGCCGGGGGCTCTTGCAGAATAAGAAATCCATCAAGCCCAACAGATACACAGCATCAGTAACAAATCTGTCATGTGGTCCATTTTCACCAGCAGCTGCCCATCTAAGCCCAGATATGCAGAAGACAATTTTTGATACACAAGACTAGCTATCTACTGCAATTATGACAGAATAGTGTGATGTGTAATTTTTTCTTTTGCTGCATGTATAGAGTTGGTTAGGTTGGAATATTCTTTTTGTCTCGTCTATGTGTATATAACGTAAGGTGTGTATAATTAATTTTTCAGCAAGTTGATAAATATAGAATGAGAATTTCTCTTCAATCATTTCTGTTCATTTCCTGATTCTGTGTTTTACATTTCATCATTTTCCAAAATTTACATATATGTATGATAATTAAATATTTGATTTTATTTTATTAATCTTTGAAGCTACAGTATCCATATTTTCAATGATATGCAAAATCAAGGATAAAAGAAACATAAGGTTTATTTATTACTGAATTAATGTATATTATATAAATCTCGCACAAGCAATTTTTCTGGAATTGTATATTATGTAAATGCCACCGAAAGCTATTTTCTAGAATTGTAAGGAAACACGAAATTAGAAGGAGAAGTCCATAAAAATATAACTTGCTGCTAGTGCCTCAAAATTTGAAGTTCAGCGATAATTTTACGTATGTTCATTTCATAACTTCTGCACATCGTAATTCATGTGATGAAATCATACAAATGGTCATTTTATTTTACATCATAGCCAACAAATATGAAATTGATTTGACAAATAAAATATATTTCAAATTCCACATGCAGATGGATTCATAACATAAAGGAATAAATTTTAGACATGTTACACTGAATTTAATTTATTATCTTTATTAGATCCAGTTACAATAGCAACACTTAATCATTCACTAACCAAGGACCCCTTCTAACTTGAGAAAAGAAGTGAGTATACGAGAATACTCAATAGGACACGAGTATTACATAGTCCCAAATAAAAATATAAACTCTTGCATCAAAATAATAATAACGTATATCGTATCTTTAAAAATCTGATAAAAGCTTACATCATATCATATCGCGTAAATTCATCGGCATAATCTTTATTAACAAGAAGTAATAAAATTAAATGGAACAAATCACTTGCACCTCAAAATCCTACCTTGATTGATAAAAAGAGGTTTTTTTTTTTTTTTAAATTTAAAAAAGGCAATAGTTTTACGATTTAAGAGGGTTTTTGAGCCCCAATTTTATGAAAAGTGTATTTTATAATAGTAGATTAATGGAAAATGTGTAGTTGAAAAATATGAAAAAGATTTTTATTTACTTGTAATATTATTTTAATGAATAATGCATGATTGAAAAGAAGAGAGAGAAAAATATATTTTTAGAGAATAAATATCAAACAAGATGTAAGACTTTTCTCCGATATAGTGCGTGTATATCCAACTTTTATTCCGAACTTGAAATATTTATTTAAGGTAGACAAAAATTCTTTACTTGTATACTATCAATGATATTTGTATTACAACATAAAGCCACGTGTTTTTCCACGTAAGTGGCTCAATTTATTGGTTTGTCTTTTGATGAGTACGTTTCTTCAATTCATTTCAAACTCAAACAAGATAGTTTACCTAATTTTAAACCAAGGACAGCTGATATATTGATAGCACAATGTCATGATTTCTGTGTATTATGCCAAGAAAATTGGCCATAATATATTATATAATAGTTCATTCAAACCTTTGAAATTATTATTAATTTTTTTTTCCCTTTCAAGTGTAATCTACACATCAAAAACAAATCATAGCCAACTAAAAAGGTATTTCTCCATTTCAACCAGAAGTACATGTGGCTGAATTGGAAAGATTTTTGAATCAATATTAACTGAATTAATTAAGAGTTAAGGTAATATCATTCAACCTCAATATCATGGACATAACTTATTTGAAATAATTATTTCTCGAGTTCAAGGTGGTTTATTTAATACAAGCTACATAATGAACCCAAAAATTGTATATTAATTCTAGCTCTATCTTTTCAATTGATTTGTCAATCTTTGAGATCGAAATGTTCCGAATGTTCCTTGAAATTCTTGCTCCCAACTAGTACATTCCAAAATCACCGTTACTCATGCATCTTTCCCCCTAGCCATGATGGAACGATATTGGATCAAATGACAAAGGAGGGGACTTTCTCTCCCTAGTCAAGGCATTCAGTCTTTCCAAGCTCAAAATTTTGTAGTATAGTCTTGCTAGAAAGACAACACGTTAGCTGTAATGCCCTCGACTGATTCTAAGGTTCAGGAAAGGATGCTTTTAACATCAACTTTTGAAGTTACGAGCTGGAGGAAGTCTTCTTTTATTAAAGGTCAAACCCCAACCTTGAGGGCCCCCATCGCCCCGCCCCTAAAGCTTTGTGAGGGAGATAAATCGCGGGATGTACTCCAACAGGTCAGAGAACAAGAGCTGTCTGTACACTGCACCTACAAGGAGTCCAATTCAATGTCTTAGGAATAGAACCCCCACACTGTAGCTGCGAGCAAGATTTGAGATAACCTCACTCCTATCGTTTGCATCACTGGGCTATGCCCGGGGGGCAAGTCTTCTTTTATTTCTCAACACTGAAGTAAGGAATTCATGGGCTATTTGTCCCCCAATTAACACCTATGAAGGCCTTACGTGGGCATAGCTTCACCGCTGGCCCCTTTTGGTCCCCAACCACCCTACATGTACAGGGTTATTTTTGCCAAATATTTTACAGGTATTCACATTAGTGGGGGCCGCGTTAATTTTTTATTTTTTTTATACATGTAGGGCCCTCGCTACAGTGAGGGCCCCTGTATAAACCCTGTAGAAAAAGCCCTGTACAATGGGCTTTTTCCTTTGGTCCCAAATCTTTGGGGTTGATTTTATATATATAGCATTGAAAACAGTTAATTCTTCACACACAAGACAACCTGGTTTCCAGCAAAAAAATGTGTTTTCTTCTCCTAGCCATTCTCTCTCTCAAAAAGTTTTTCTCTCACATCTTCTTTCATTCAAGGTTGGATACATTAGTCTCTTTCTTGAATTTAATGTATTTCGTGATATTGTGTTTTGGTTTAGGATGTTGGAATTCCAAATTACACAGGAATGTTTGGTGAATCCCCCTATGCTCCTCTAGAATTGGAAGATTTCCCAGAAGTAAATTTACCTGAAATTACAAAGCTGTCCAAATCTGAAACACTTGGCGAATTCGACAGATATAAGGAGTACGTAAATGGGTTCACGGCGTTGGAAGAAATTTATACTTTATGTTCTACACATGAGAACTCGAGCAAATCAAATTTTGCATGTTAATTAAAATCTATTAGATGCGCCTAATTATTGTGTTACCGAGGATATAATCTTTATAAAGGGATTATTTTTTATTTTTTTATTTTTTTGAGTTTCTTTGTTATAAATGAGGGCGGTTTTTTTATTTTTTATTTTTATTTTTATTTTTGCAAAGCATTGGGCGATTGGTTAATAATTTTTTCTAATTTTAAAGTGTATTTTTTCCCATAAGATAGTCATTTTTTTTAAAAGATAAATATATTGATTGTAACTTAAATATAAACTCTAGGTTAATATAATTCCATGTCTTTCAAAAAATATATATACACTCGAATGATCTAATAAGCACCGGTATTCATATTATGTTTAGCATCGATGATGCATCTATAAACATGTTGGTTGATAACTTGATGGTGGGACCTCAACATTTGAATTAAATTGAAAATTCGTTAATGAATTTATATGACACGTCACCGAATGTATATGATTTAATAAGCAAGGTGTTCATCATATATTAAGTACCAATGATGTGTCTATAATGTACAAATTCAACAATGAAATTAGGGGATTCCTAGATCAAAATCTATGATGTGCTATATATCTATTAATAAATTTTTTGTGTTGTTAAAGAAAAATGTAATCGGTGAGTTGGTTGGATATTGATAGATTACATCTATGTTTGTCTTCCATTAAAAATAAATTTTTTGAGGAAAATAAGTTTTTAAATAGTGATTTTTTGAATAGTGTGTGGTTAAAAAGTAAGAAAAGATTTTGATTTTTCGAGCAAAACATTTTATTTTATCGACATATGGTTGAAAATGAGTTTGAGAAGAAGAGAGTTTTGATTTAATGGAAAAAATAAGGACTAAGTAAATAAGATTTTTACTCGACATTATAGAAATGTGATACATGCTAAACATCTCTAGAATTATCTTAGTGAAAATAATATTATGATGTAATAGCATACCGAAAAAGAGATTATTCAAGAAGTACCGAATACTTCTATTGAGAATGACCAGGATTTAGCTAATAGCAGTGATACATCGATTGTGTCTCCAAGTGAAGCAATGCAAGCATTGCAATCATAAATACTTACTTTCTTACATGCATATTTTTGGTGAAAAAAAAACAAACCAACAGCAAAAAGTAGAAATTTTCAATTAAGAAGTTGCTTAATATGTATTTAACCAAATAATATTTTATATTTCCATTGGGCCCTAAATGATTTTAAATAAAATTCTTATCTTATGCATTTAGCGAGATAAAGAATTTAGTATACTGTTTCGAGTTAAGATAAAAAAAATTTATTATTTAAGTTAGATTATTAATTTATCGAATATTTATTTATTGAAGATTTACAGAATTTTTCAAAGGTTGATCATTCAGAAAAGTTGAATGTGGATGAAAGTGCAAATGACCCTAAAGGTTGGGAGGTTTAGTGTAATTTACCCAAATGAATATATGCTCAAAGTTGGGGTGATCTCAGGCATTTTTTTTTCACCTATTGACATATTCAATCCAAAAAAACCTCGAGGCCCTGTTTGGTTAACTTTATTTTTCTATCCAAATTCTTATTTTTGGGGTGTGTATTTGACAAATTTTTTCGTGAAAAATATTTTTCAACGTATGATCATGTGATCATATTTTCCTAAAAAAAATAAGAAAAACATTTTGTTAAGGGAAATGGGATTTTTATTTTTTAAGCAAATTCTTGCTCTCATTTATTCCTCCTCTCATCTATTTAACAATAAAAAAATGGATAAGTATAATATTTTTTTAGGTTCAAAACTATCAATCAAATGCATTTAATTAATAATTTTCATATAAATAAATTTTAAGGAATTGAATTGCTAGAATTTTTTTTTCTTTTCATACAAATTCAATACACACAAACGCACCTGATTGGAATTGGGACTATGCTTGATGCACATCGGAGCGTACATCAAGGTATCCAGCCCCTCATATGGAGGGGATACACTCCGAATAATTGTAAATATCTTAATGAATATTTCTTGATGTGCAAGTGGAATAATCTTTGAACTGGATCCGAATTGCACGGGTTTCTTCGTCTGTATGCTATCAAACTAAGTGTAAAGGATGTGTTGTACGCTTAGCATTCTTTCTCTGCCTTAAAATTCGTTTGGGAATGATTTTAAGAATTAATTTTGTGATCGTTAGGAAAAAAGTGGAGTCACCTGTAACAAAATAAGTCAAATTTTACAGCTAAAATAGTTAAATAATACCAAAAAATTAATTTTTTGAAATGAAAAATCCGTTCTAAACAAGCTCTTATTTTTCTAGAGAGACGAATTGGGATTGGTCTGCCTGCCGCCCTTGTAATGAAAAAACTGGGAAGAAAGTTCGAAGTCAAATTAGAAGAAAGAGCGTGAGATATATACCAAACCTCATAAATTTCCGTCTCTCTCTATTACTTTTAAAACCCATGTTCTTAAATTGATCTCGATCAGATTCAGAACCCTTTTATTTATTAATCTTCGCCCATATTTCTATCTGATCTATCATTAGTTTTTCACGATAATTTTTGAAAAGAAAGGAAAATATATACTGTCAAGTGATGAACTCGAATTCTCCATCAACGAGTGCGGGAGGACCTGGATCGGCCGATTCAACAGCGCCCAGAAGGAATTCCAAGCGACCCAAATGTATTTTCCTCTCCCTACACATTCTGTTTTTTAGTATCTTAATTATTCTTATTTTTATTGAATAATGATATTTAATTTGGGAATTGATAAGTAGTGTGAAAACAATTGTCTTTAATTGAAAATTTAATTGGGTTGGGTGAGGGGTTTTTCTTTTAATCCTTGTTAATTTGTATATAGCTGGGAAGTGCAGTGAGCATGTTATTTTATGTAATCACAAAGGGTACCTGTACAATACTAAAAGATTTGGCTGCTAATCTTCTCCAATTTCATACTCATGTTTGCTGCCAACAGTAGTAAACTTGAGTTAAGTCGAATTATATCTGTGTGGGTTTTTACTCAAGGCATATTAAGGCTTGGAAATAATTTTAGCCCCTCTTTGATCCTATTAAATTAAATTATATTACATTTCATTTTTCTCCCTCCTATTTTCAACTACACAATCTTCCATAAAATAATATTACAAGTCGAAAACTTTTTCTTCTTTTTCAACCACTCACTTTTCTAAAAAATATTATTCCCCCATTTTCATTTTCAGGTAATGGGCAGCAAACAGGGGCTAGTATCAAAAGCATTTTTATCAACATAATGCATCATTGACTAAATCTATTATTCATATGAATTTAATTGGCAAACTGATTTACCTACAAGAGATTCTGAAATAAGTAAATTACAACGACACCCCAGATGTATGCGTCTATAGGCTTGTTTTCAATGAGAGATGATCCAAACCTAGTTCCAGCTCTTCAGGTCTTGAGTAGCTCAATAGTTTGGGTTCTTGAAGCTCACATGTTAGAATTAGCAGGGATTAAAATCCAGCGAGCTTGGGTTGGGAAGTGCTTAATGACTCACAGGGAATGCACTGGCCAATACTTCTTTTTTCATCGGTTGTTTTGTACCACAATCATACTCCTTGCCTGAGTTTGAGCAAGTGATGTAGTTGAAGACTTGAAGTGAATAAATGGTTAACTGAGGTAGAAGTGCATATGAACCATATAAAGATTGCCTAAAAAGTTAGCTGCAGACCGTTATACATTTCTCCTATTGATTTATTATCAATGACAAAGATTGAGCACATATCTATGTGATATTAAGTTGTACTTATTGACACTGTCTTGGAATTTTCGTGGAGGATACTTGTTTTTAACTCAGTACAAGTATCATCCATAGGATGAAACTACCTATTTCATAAGGGCAGTTTCAAAATGTGAAAAACAATTGTTTCACTTGCTAAAACATGGGAATGTTGCAAAACCGAATGTTTTGGCTTTCTATTTCATTTGGAGGTTGCATTAGTTAGTAAAATATGGGAATATAATTCAATACCTTTCTTCATCTTCAGAATAAATTGCGAAGCAATAATATATGTATTTTGATCACAATTTGGATTTTGATTGATTAAAGCATCATTACTGTTTTTGTTATCTCTTCAGATTCAAGGTTTACACAACAAGAACTTCCAGCATGCAAGCCTATTCTGACACCTAAATGGGTAAATATTATAAACTGTTTCTACACATTACTGGTGCCTTATTGTAATTTACCACATTATGGGGATTTATTTTACCTATGGATTTACTTCCTCTCATAAACTTTGTTCCGTGCAGGTGATTTCAGCTTTCTTACTTGTTAGCATTGTCTTCATTCCCATTGGCCTTGTCTCGCTATTTGATTCCCAGGATGTATGCTCAGTACTTCCTAACCTATCGTTCTTTTGCTTTTTGTGCTTCCCTCACTAAAGTGGTTTCTTTTCATCAGGTTGTTGAGATTATTGATCGATATGAGACTGATTGCATTCCATTAGATTCAAGAAATGATAAGGTTGGATTTATTCAAAGTCCTCAAGATAAAACCTGCCACAGAAATCTGACGGTGAGTTTCAATTCAATGGTATATGAGTTTTACCATGGCAATTGCATTTTAAATTTCAGTATAATTATAAAATCTAACATTTGATAACTATTGATTAATCATCAGGTTCCAAAACTCATGAAACGGCCCATTTATGTATATTATCAGCTTGACAATTTCTACCAAAATCATCGGAGGTACTTTCATTGTTTCTATATTCTGACATTAAATTCGGTAAATGAAATATTGAACTGTTTCTTTGATGCAATATTTTGGATTTCTACCTCTATGGATGAGTGTTAGTGATTCCTTGTTTTTATTATAGATATAGAACTCTTCTATAAGAGAAATGATTCCACTGAAAATTTAATTTTATTCTCTCTTCTGGTATCTTGTAATAGTTGTCTATTTGAAATCTTTTGCACTTTGATAGGAATTCTTCATGACTATATTAATTTATTATTCCTTTTTATTTTCAAACTATGTGGCTGATATGTATGCCCTTCCAAGATATGTGAAGAGCCGAAGTGATCAGCAACTGAGAAATCCAGGAGATGAAGGTGACACAAGTGCCTGTGAGCCTGAAGACACTGCCCATGGGATGCCAATTGTGCCTTGTGGTCTTATAGCCTGGAGCCTGTTCAATGATACTTACAACTTCACACTCAATAACCTACTGGTGACCATAAACAAGACGGGTATCTCGTGGAAGAGTGATAAAGATCACAAAAATATGCATTAAATTTAATAAAAAAAATATAATGGCAAGAATAAGTATAACTTCAAAAAAAAATCTCAAAGAAATATTTTTTTTTTTTACCATTTCATCGACATTCTTCAAAAATTCATATTTGAATATAAATTAAGGTTAAAAAAAATAATAATAAACAGAAAATAAGCCCCTGTTTTGATGGAGATTTTGGATAATAGATTTTGTGAAAAGTGATTTTTATGGAGAACATGGTTAAAAAGTATGGAAAAGTTATAGATCCAAGTGTGAAATTATTTTGTTGAGAGAATATATGGTTAACAATGAGTTTGGGAAAAATTATTTTTAGAAAATGGGGAACAAACAGGGGCTAAGATGCTTCCACTGTTACGAACGTATCTGATTTCTGTCTTGAGAGATCTTATGAAAAGTAGAAAAGTGAACTGGATAGTGGATATTCAATTTGTTGCTTTGGCAGTTCGTATACTTGCTACTTGTACTTCTTCTCTCATCTTGAGTAGTATTTCAAACTTGTCCCAGATGACACTCCGAAGCGACGTGATGCGAGATCATGCTTAAGCTTGTCTTTTAGTGCGAGACTGCTATGTTAACTGATATGTATAAATTTTTCAGTCCTGTTATTTATTTCTATTAATTTGCTTTCTAGACTCGGCTAATCATCAGTTACTGATATGTTAATATTGAACAGTTGAGTGAGCAGGAGGACCTTATTGTTTGGATGCGAACTGCAGCACTTCCAACTTTCAGAAAACTATATGGGAAAATAGAGGTGGATCTTCAGGCTGGCGATGTCATTAATGTGGAATTGCAAAATAATTATAACACCTATAGTTTCGATGGCAAGAAGAAACTCGTCCTTTCTACCACCAGCTGGCTTGGAGGAAAGAATGACTTTCTTGGTATTGCATATCTTGTTGTGGGTGGATTGTGCTTCTTTCTCTCCTTGGTTTTCACAATTATCTATCTAGTTAAGCCAAGGTACGTTTTAGTGCCTACATTGTTTCCTCATCTCATAGTATTTTTGTGGAAGTAAATTTTTTGAGCAAAAAAACCTTTACCACTATTAGATGAAAACTATAATCGATCTCACCTGCTGCCACGTGTTCTCACCACATGCCAGATTATCCAAACTAACTGTAACAAAATTCATATTTGAATATAAATTAAGGTTAAAAAAAAATAATAAACAGAAAATAAGCCCCTGTTTTGATGGAGATTTTGGATAATAGATTTTGTGAAAAGTGATTTTTATGGAGAACATGGTTAAAAAGTATGGAAAAGTTATAGATCCAAGTGTGAAATTATTTTGTTGAGAGAATATATGGTTAACAATGAGTTTGGGAAAAATTATTTTCAGAAAATGGGGAACAAACAGGGGCTAAGATGCTTCCACTGTTACGAACGTATCTGATTTCTGTCTTGAGAGATCTTCTGAAAAGTAGAAAAGTGAACTGGATAGTGGATATTCAATTTGTTGCTTTGGCAGTTCGTATACTGGCTACTTGTACCTCTTCTCTCATCTTGAGTAGTATTTCAAACTTGTCCCAGATGACACTCCGAAGCGACGTGATGCGAGATCATGCTTAAGCTTGTCTTTTAGTGCGAGACTGCTATGTTAACTGATATGTATAAATTTTTCAGTCCTGTTATTTATTTCTATTAATTTGCTTTCTAGACTCGGCTAATCATCAGTTACTGATATGTTAATATTGAACAGTTGAGTGAGCAGGAGGACCTTATTGTTTGGATGCGAACTGCAGCACTTCCAACTTTCAGAAAACTATATGGGAAAATAGAGGTGGATCTTCAGGCTGGCGATGTCATTAATGTGGAATTGCAAAATAATTATAACACCTATAGTTTCGATGGCAAGAAGAAACTCGTCCTTTCTACCACCAGCTGGCTTGGAGGAAAGAATGACTTTCTTGGTATTGCATATCTTGTTGTGGGTGGATTGTGCTTCTTTCTCTCCTTGGTTTTCACAATTATCTATCTAGTTAAGCCAAGGTACGTTTTAGTGCCTACATTGTTTCCTCATCTCATAGTATTTTTGTGGAAGTAAATTTTTTGAGCAAAAAAACCTTTACCACTATTAGATGAAAACTATAATCGATCTCACCTGCTGCCACGTGTTCTCACCACATGCCAGATTATCCAAACTAACTGTAACGTTGGAGGATCCTCCAATAACTCACTTTTTAAACGAGCATGTGCAGTACTTTGTGTTCCTGAGCCAAAGTTCTAGACCGAGCCTTCACCGGGGACCTTTCTTATTCTGCTGTCATTCCCTTACCATGAACCTATTCTTCTTTGGCAAAAAGTCATTGATATGTAATCTTTGTTTCAGGAAACTTGGAGATCCGTCTTATTTGTCGTGGAACCGCAACCCGGGAGGTCACTAAGCTTAGAGCCCGTGAACGAGCATTCAGCTGGATATTTGGAACATAAGCTTGTGCCTGTTAATTAAGTTTGAAAAGGTGTATGTATAAACCTCAGTACATGGTGCTCTAAATGTTTCGGGCTAATGTTTTGTATTGAAAGTCGACATATTTGGGTGTATATTTGATTAAGGTTTGCACATATATGTTACATTATGAGCCGGGTTCTGTGTCCCTTTCTGCTAATCAACGAGCCAGACGGTTCTTCCAAGTTAAAGCCTTTATGTTGGATTTATAGGACGCTAATTGCAATAATATAACATTTGTTTTCAATATTAATATGAATTTACCTACTAACACGTCACTAAAAATACTAATGTATGACCACCAACTGTAGGGAGGTCCTCTATTTACTAAAAAAGACTACATATGTTGTGCTTTCTTCTCATGAAACGTTAATCAACGTAATTGGGGAACAAGTTCACCTCTCTACACTCTTGCATGGATTGTCAATTTGGCAAATTGAACAAAGAGATATACAATGCATCGATTAGGTTTCTTGTTCACTGTAATTTATGTCATTTTCAACTGTTGGATGTCGGATCGGGGGCAGATACTGTTTGGGGGGGGGGGCCTCGGCCCAGAAAGAAATTGTGCTTCTAAATTTTGTGAAAAAAATCATGGCTCGGCGGGGGGGGGGGGGGGGGCCTCGGCCCAGAAAGAAATTGTGCTTCTAAATTTTGTGAAAAAAATCATGGCTCGGCCCAAATTTAAAGTTAGCCCACTAACTATCCTATTCAATATCGGGAAAATTACATGATACCAGGTACTTAAAGACCACAATTCAAAAGTCAGGGATCAAGTTTCATTGTGCACAAATCAGGTTTTGACATATAATATGAACTCTAATTTTATTTACACCAACTTTTAGTTCATTCTCACATTTGAACTCTCACTCTTTCTTTCAATCTTCATCCTCTGTCAGACGATGCTGTCGCCGCCGTTGGAGCATCCGTTGCTAGAGATCAACCTCATTTCACTTCGCCGTCACCAGCACGTTGCTACTGGAATGAAGAGATCTGTAATTTATGTCATTTTCAACTGTTGGATGTCGGATCGGGCAGATACTGTTTGGGGGGGGGCCTCGGCCCAGAAAGAAATTGTGCTTCTAAATTTTGTGAAAAAAATCATGGCTCGGCCCAAATTTAAAGTTAGCCCACTAACTATCCTATTCAATATCGGGAAAATTACATGATACCAGGTACTTAAAGACCACAATTCAAAAGTCAGGGATCAAGTTTCATTGTGCACAAATCAGGTTTTGACATATAATATGAACTCTAATTTTATTTACACCAACTTTTAGTTCATTCTCACATTTGAACTCTCACTCTTTCTTTCAATCTTCATCCTCTGTCAGACGATGCTGTCGCCGCCGTTGGAGCATCCGTTGCTAGAGATCAACCTCATTTCACTTCGCCGTCACCAGCACGTTGCTACTGGAATGAAGAGATCTGTAATTTATGTCATTTTCAACTGTTGGATGTCGGATCGGGCAGATACTGTTTGGGGGGGGGCCTCGGCCCAGAAAGAAATTGTGCTTCTAAATTTTGTGAAAAAAATCATGGCTCGGCCCAAATTTAAAGTTAGCCCACTAACTATCCTATTCAATATCGGGAAAATTACATGATACCAGGTACTTAAAGACCACAATTCAAAAGTCAGGGACTAAGTTTCATTGTGCACAAATCAGGTTTTGACATATAATATGAACTCTAATTTTATTTACACCAACTTTTATTTCATTCTCACACTTGAACTCTCACTCTTTCTTTCCATCTTCATCCTCTGTCAGACGATGCTGTCGCCGCCGTTGGAGCATCCGTTGCTAGAGATCAACCTCATTTCACTTCTTCGTCACCAGCACGTTGCTACTGGAATGAAGAGATCGAAGCCTGCGACGAAGGCTTCGATCTGAAATTCCTCCGATTGGCGGTGTTTCTCCGACGATTTCCTGTGGCCAATGGTTTACGAGGTAGATGTGCTGTGAACAATTCTCCGACGATTTGTTGTGAACGTCGCTGCTCGCGGCTCTGCTTGATTTTTTCCATGGTTTTGATCGTTGGTGGATTTGACGGGTGGTGGTGTGTGCGCCTGTGCGATGGTGTTGCTGATGGTATGGTTAGGTAGTGAGTGGTTGAATTTTTTTCGATTTGTGTTCTGCTAGTTTGTATGCAGTGGCTTTGGTGGTGGTGGTGGTGTCCCTGACAGTGGCTGTGTACGATGGTGTTGTTTTTGGTGGTGGTTGTTGGCAGTGGTGATTTTGGGTGGAAACGGTGGTGAAATTGTGCATGGGTATTGTTATTGTATTTGGTGGTGGCGGTTGTTGTGGTTTTTGACGATGGTGGAGGTGGTGGTTGGAGAGCTGGTAGAGTTGATTGCCCAGGTTTTTGTTAGCAATTGATTGGATCTTGTGGTGAAAATTTTGGCAGTAGTGGTGGTATTGGCGATAGCGGTGATAGTGATGGAGTGAGAGTGGTGGTGATAGTAGAGGTGGTGGTGGTATGTGATCCACTGTTTTGACCTGTGAACAACAAATTCGAAAATATGTGATTAATAGATAATTTGTGACCTATAATTTTTTAATCTGCGACAAATGATGAAAACTGTGATCTATAAAATTTTTGATTTGCAATCCCAAAATAATTTGTAACTGACAAAATTTTTGATTTGCGATCACAAAAAAATCTGTTACCAACAAAAATTTGACTTGTGACCAAGAAAAAATCTGTGACCTATAATTGGAGATTTTTTACCATAATTGTGTAAGTGTGACTTTTATTATATTTAAATATTAAATATTTTTAATTAATTACATAAAAACCTGATTTTTGTATAATTAAACTTAACCACTTTAATTTTGAAGTGTGCATACTTAAAACGTGGTTTGTGAATTCTTCCCTTCAATATTTACCCACTTTAGCCCAATTTAAATGGATCAAGTTTAAATCCAATATTTGTATAGCCCATATACTAATTAATCTCCCTTAATCCTGTTGCATCCCAGAGGACCCAAACTCACCTCACATACACCCACAGGTTCTATTATTTCTGGAAGCAACCAAGAAATCAAGCTCCATTTAGTCTCTTATTTCTGGCATTTCCAAATTTTGTGAGAATTTTGGAGGTGCTACTCTTTCCATGAATCCTCTAAGTACATTCAACACTTTATCTGTACTTGGACGGTTATTCAAAAGAAAAACATATGGATTTAACTGTGTTATTGCGTTTTCCGTTTTTATTTTTTAAACTTATTCTTGGATTGTTACTTGTTGGGGTTGAGTTTTAATGTGGGTATGTTTTATTTTTTACATTCTAAAGTTCTAATCCTTTTTTTATACATACATTTATTAGTGTTTATGGCTTTATGTTTGTCATTATTTTCAAAGAAGAATATGATTCGGTAGGGATTTATGAATTTTCACTGGATGCTGATCTTTAATATATATATATATATATTTTTTTTTCAAGTCATTTGATAATGATCTTTGTTAACCATGGGAATTAGTTGTTTATGCAAACCTTATTTGGAATATGATTGTTGCATAGAGCTATTTTTCAAGAAGAATATGATTCGGTTGGGATTTACAAATTTATGCACATAAGTGTATTTTAATTCGAATAAAATCTACATTTATTGCAATTTAATCTTAACCCAACTACCTTAATTTTCAACCCAATACCATCGTTTATCTATATATTTTGGCCCACTTTGTCAAGAGAATTATGAGTTTAGCATTTTTAAACTAAATCTCGTGGGCATACAGCATTTTTTATGGTACGAGTCCATTGAAAAAAATTAAACTTCAGCCCATCCTAACAAAATCATTTTGGCTCCGCCCCTGGATCTCAATGCTGGAAAGTGGTATACTAGTATTGAGGTGAAAACTGCGATCTCTGTGTAGTTTGGGGGTTACTTTGTTAGAGAAGTTTGATATGTGTATGTCATATATCATTTCAAAAGTGAATAAGTATAGTTAAGAACGTATAATAAAATTGTCATGAATATACATTGCATTGAATTCTCAAAGTGATAGACTACAATGTCGTGATTTCATACACCAAATTACTATTTTGGTAAAGTAGTTTTCGTTCAGGCGAAAGTAGAATGTCTTCATTCAAAGAACTACAATCATCAAAATGTTATCCGAAAATAACAATCTATAAAAGAATGTATTCCAGTCCAATTAGTACTATTTATATAAATTTGCAAGGTTACTCGTAGCTAGGGGTGGGCAACGGGGCCGGCTTTGGCAGCTCTTTGTTCCAAACATGACCCGATTCAGTGAGTGAACCAGTTCGGGTCGAGTCAATTTGGGTTGAGTTAGGTTTTTCATCTTTTCTTTTTTATTTTACATTACTCTGATCATTACTCTAGTTTTCTTTCCCTCACTTCATTTGTAGGTGAAAATTCTTGGTATTACTTATTTATATAATTCAAAACCACATAATGTCTTGCAACGTGAATTCGCAATTGAGAAACTTCTGCCAAATTTCACTTCCAAAAACTAAACATTAAAACTCTTATATGATAATAAAGCTTTGATTCATTGGCAAAAACTAAAAGGATTCCCAGTCCATCCAATTTTTCTCATCTGGGTGGGACCGGCCACTTCCACGTTAAAATTACAAAACCCGACCGACGCAATCAATTAACCCGGATATTATTTTCCACTGAGGGTGTAGCAGTACACTGTCGTCTCTCTGCGAAAACTTCCATTTAGATCTTACATCCTAATTGGTACGTATTAAATTTCACATTTTGTACTTACAAATATCTGATGCTCTCCCGATTTTCTATTCATAATTTTACTGTATTATTTTTTGCAATTTCAATTTAATTTTGCTGCAGTTATGGATTCATCGACATTGCTATTCGACCAGCTCAAGGTTGAATTGATACCTTAATTTAATTTTCTTATTTTTGATTTTTCAATTACTGAAAAGTTTAATGTAATTTTAAAATGTTGGAAAACCAGGCAGCGGAGCCATTTTTCCTCTTAGCAGGCCCCAATGTGATTGAATCAGAGGATCACATTCTTCATATGGCTAAGAATATCAAGGCCATCACTTCTAAGTATTACCATTACTCTCTAATCTTCGTGTACTATGATTCAATATATGTTGGAAATAAAATTGTTTTAAAATTTTGCTATTTGTAGGCTTGGGTTGCCATTGGTTTTTAAGTCTAGCTTTGATAAAGCTAATAGGACATCATCTAAGTCATTCCGAGGACCTGGCTTGGAGGAAGGCTTAAAGGTATTATTGCTATTATGGGTGTCAATGCATACACTACTGTGATTCTTAATATGATGAAACTGGAGTTGGGTTTAAATATAAGAAATCTGATAAGTTTTCTTTATCATTAGTTACATGAGTGGTCCAATTTAGATGTGTGTTGCAATGTTATGTGATATTGCTTTAAATGATATGTCAATTACAAAGTTTATAAGAAATTTCACTACAGAGAAGCCTGTTTAATGCCGATAATGTCCACTTATTTGTGTTTCTCTTTTTTCTCTTAGATCCTTGAAAGGGTGAAGACAACATATGATCTTCCTGTAGTCACTGATGTGCACGAGACAATCCAGGTAATCGCTCTACCCTACTTCAAAGACTGCTCATCTCTTCTGGTTATGTACAAGTTCTATTTAAGTCTATAATTGATTATTATATAAGTCTTCAATGATAGTGAACTATATATTTGTTTTTCGCCGTTTAAATCATTAACTATAGGATCATGCTTTCAGTTTTTGTGCAAACAGTGACCATTTAATAAATCTGGAGTTTTAATGGTTATATCTATGATGCACGGACATGGACATGCGTGGCGTTGAACATGCTAACACCCGATTTTAAGAAAAGTACAAACACCACATGTAGCCGACACATTGCATAAATTCTTTAAAATTCTTCATTTATATAATATAACTTTAGTTTTATACTTATTATTAATTTTTCTAGTTGAACTTTTAAATAAGCATATCAATTTATTATATTATTATAACTTTTGAGTTTTTTATTTATTTTATTTTTTATTTTAAGGAAAACACCAACACTGCCTAAGTAGATTTTCGGGACCACCAGGGAAGGCTGACAGGGGTTTTGAATTCCCCAACCGTATTAACTTTTGAGTTAAGAGTGTCCGAGAAGTGTCAATATTTGACATGCTACCCTTGTTCAAGTGTTTGTGCAACATTTATGAGATTAGCAAATTTGCCTTCCAAAAGCATTTTATAGTCCCGATGAAGTGAATATTAGTCATCCAGTAACCTCTCGTATGATGGTGCAGTCTTCAAATTTACATTTGAGCTTTTGTGATGTATCTTGCCTTCTAAGAAAGCCATCGGTTTTCAGTTACACTGTCCCAGACCTGAAGCTAGGTGGTCAAAATCTTAAACTTGCTGTACATAACTCTCATACTATTTGGCTTCTTGATGGTCATCTTGGAAAAAATAGGAACTGCTCCATTTTTGAGTGGGTAAGACTAAAGAGAATAAGGGAAGCAAGTGGCCTACACCAGAATTGCATGTAACTAAGAAACATGCTGGTCTGGAACAATTATACATTTATTAACTTAAAAGAGGCACTTAAGCCATGCGTCCTCTCTAATTTTTTATAGAATAGACATGTTTCCTAATTGTTTTAATTTCCATTTGATCTAGTAATTGGATCATTCAATATTGATGACATTGAAAGTTATGCATTTACAACTAGCCCTTGTGTGGGAGGGATGTTTTTAAAAAGTGATTTTTTTTGGAGAATTTATGGTTATAAAGTAAGGAAAATTTATGAGTGGTTGAAAATGAGCGTGGAGCACCTAGTTTCAACTGAGCATAAATTGTGTTTCCTCTCTAATACTTGATTTTTCACAGTGTGAAGCAGTTGGCAGGATTGCAGACATAATTCAGATTCCTGCTTTCTTATGCCGGCAGGTTAGGTTGATAGCTATAACTAAGCTACCCTTACTAGAACATACTCTTTAAATATAAAGTCCATTCTGTTAAGATTTTTGTGGGGGTAGCTTTATGTGCATTGATTTTGTTGTCTTTTTGAATGACAGACAGATCTGCTTCTTGCAGCTGCCAAGACGGGGAAAATTATTAATATCAAGAAAGGCCAATTTTGTGCTCCTTCTGTAGGCATTTGCTATTGTTTTTTTTTTCCTCATTCCATGTGCTAATTATGTCCTTCTCCAGCCCAAAATAATTGCCAGTTTGTATCATCTTCAGTATCATTCTCCAAAATGATAGTTGATTTTGTTCTGCAGGTTATGGTAAATTCTGCTGAAAAGATTAGGTTGGCTGGAAATCAAAACGTCATGGTTTGTGAGAGAGGAACAATGTTTGGCTATAGTAAGTTCTCCCAGCTTCCATCATAATTGTATTGAACAAAGTTTCAAGTATATTCTAGATAGTAATTCACTATTAGTAAATGAGAAATTGTTTGTTTTGGAGCTTTAATGTTGTTCCAAACGATTATATTGGACCCTCTATAGCCATGTCAAATTACAACAGTGAGAAATTTGATCTCAGTTGTAATGACATTTCAAGCATAGACTTTATAAATAAGCTTCAAAGTTTTATTCTCAACATGCGTTAACAACTGTTTTTTGAAACCACACAAAAGATTTGAAAGTACGGTTATGTTGAAGGTCCTGCAAAAAGTTGGTTTAAATAATTCTTGAAGGTTGACTTGAAGTGGAAGCTACATAACTGCAATTAACATGTTCGCGACGTTGCCTATTAATTCTTGATGCTACAGCTTTCATTGTTAGAAAGTAACGCTGTCGGTCTGCTATACAGATGACTTGATCGTTGATCCCCGCAACTTCGAGTGGATGAGGGAGGCTGATTGTCCTGTTGTAAGATTGTTGGTCCATGCTTTGTTGTTCATCAGTATGGTGTACCAATATTTAGACAAGCACAATCTATTTTCTGAAACATCCCCAGTCACAATTCTTCTTCAACTATCATAAGATTACTAAAAGATACTTTTGTTGATTGATTAACTATGTTTCAGGTGGCCGATATAACACATTCATTACAACAACCTGCTGGGAAAAAGGTATGTATTATACTATAACTCATTTCTTAAAATCAGAGCATCAGATGGAGCTGCAGTTCAAATAGTCATTCAATGTTAGCAAAGTAGAAGCTGGTAAGAGACATTTTCAGAAAATTTAATGAACTTTGTTGATTCCCGAAGAATGAATGATTTTCCACCTCAAACCCCATATACCTTAATTGTGGCTTACTCGTTCCAATTTTAACTACTTGGTCATTGATCCCTTTTCCTTTACCCTAAAAAAAAAAAAATGCTCCTTTCAAATCACTGAGGGATTCTCAATATGCGTCCAAGGATTAGTTTGAAAATAATTGATACTGGAATGTTTATTCAAAATAGAAAAGACCATGGATTAGATTTCTGCCTGTAAACAGCAGAGAACAATTGTCGTGGGCTCTTATTGAGAAAATTAGAGCTTTTTTTCCTTCTGTCACAGTGTGTTTTCTCAAATAATGAGTTCTATTTGCATGTCAATGGACTACATTTATTTTATCTCAATCAGCTGGAAGGTGGTGGTGTAGCCAGTGGAGGTCTTCGCGAATTGATACCTTGCATTGCCAGGACAGCAGTTGCTGTTGGGGTGGATGGAATTTTTATGGAGGTATATAATTGACATTCTCTGGTTAACAGGGTGTATTTTCATCTCATATATGCAGTACGTTTTACAATGTCTGCTTCAAAAATTTTGGTGACTCAATTTTTATAGAGCCCTGTACTGTTATTTTGTGTACTTGTGTACACCTTGTGCTCAACTTCTTGCAATTTCTTCTCTCTATTAATTACTTCTTTTTATGTAAAAATCTGTTAACACTTAATAGTAATTAGTTAAATTGTTTCCTAAGTTTGCTATTTTGATTATTTGCTGCTTAGGTGCACAATGACCCTTTAAAAGCTCCAGTTGATGGTCCAACTCAGTGGGTAAGTTTCACATGACTGAGAAACTTGTACCAGTTTTTGTATCTCCGGTAGGGTATTATTTGAGTGTAGTCCGTCGGCTTTACTGTTAATTGATTTTGTATAGCCTCTTCGCCATTTGGAGGAACTGTTGGAAGAGCTCATGGCAATTGCTGTAAGTTTCTCTCACCTTTTTTCTGATTATATGCAGTTAACGGCATGTTTAACAAGAAGGTAGGACTTAACAACAAGAGAGTTCTACATTAGATTTGATTTTTCTCGTGTGTTCAGAGTCCTGAATACTGTGACATAACGAGTTAAAAGACAATTAAGCTGATTTGGTATGTGAAGAAAAATAAGCACTGTGAGGAATAAGTGGTACACTTTGCATATCCTCCATCGGAAATGACATAAATCCGTGCTTTGAATTTTGCTACAATTGAAATTAGCCTTTCAGTTTGGTTGAGTGGGTAACAGTGTAATACAATCAATTGATGTTTGAGCAATAGCAGTCCCGGGTCCACTGTAGGCGAACCCTTGTGTGGGAGTGATTTTTGAAAACCACTTTTTCCCTCACAATCATTTTCAACCACTCATTCTCCAAAATAAAAAAAAAAAAATGTTTTTCACGTTTCCCCATGACTTTCCCCTACTTTTTAACCACATTCTCCAAAAAAAAAAATTACTTCTCTAAAAATCTCTCCCACATAATCACTTAGTTCATGCGGCTCATCTCTATCCAGCCACTTGGAAGTGGTAAATTAGTTGGGGATGATAACTTTCAAAACTGTTAAACGTGTGTACTGATAAAAGATGTAGTTTCCTCGCTGCGGCAAGGGACATCTACCAAATACAAAGATATGGTCAATACCAACCTCAGATCGGTATATTAGACATGCTTCTTTCTCATAGCTTCCAAATCCCCATTTGAACTTTGGCCAGTAATGGAGCTTTTTTCTCTGTTAATATTAGGTTAAATGTGCATGTACATGAAATTTTAATTCCCTAACAAGCCAAAGTGGTTTCATAAAAAGTTGCCACTTAATCAATCACTCCACCCTGTTATATTCATCTATCAAGCATCATGGGCAGGAAAAGACCATTCAGCCTGTTGCAGTGTTTTTTTTAGTCATAATGTGCTATTTGATGCTATCAAATTGTTTTCTCCATATTTTTACGCATTTGTATGTATAGAAGGTCAGCAAGGGGAAGCAGCCGTTTCAAATTGATCTCACTCCATTCAATTCCTGAGAATTCGGGAGCTTCACATAGGTGAGATTCTAAAACCTAAACCAGACATCTTTATCTACCATTGATGTGTGTGCACTTTGGTAAGGATGAAATGTGTATATGATTAAAGAAGATATTACTTTGACATTAATGTTCCTGAAGTGCACCATTTTAATACGAAAATAGTCAACAAGGGAAATGCATTCTTCTGTGAGTTCATAATCATTTTTTCCTCAGAAGATAGCTCGAGTCTTTGACTGTGTGCAAGTATGGATACATCTTTGATAATCTCATAGGTGATAAATGTTGGTTCGATTAATAACATCCATTTCTCAGTAAGAATGTAAACTCAATGGTCTGGGAATCATGTAATTTCTGTGGTCTGAAAATCATACGATGGCCTATTAAGTTTTAAGACATCTGTATTTCTGTTATTTTCTTTGCTGCAGGACTGGGAGCACTTCAGAACTTTCTTCCTAAAATTTCTAATTCTTGATAGTGCATGGTGTATGGGCGCCACCTAATATTATCTGGCTCTGGAGATATTATGGAATGTTTTTAGAATTGATTTCATATTTTGTATTAATGAATCTGCTAGTGTATGCATTATCAAATTCTTTCCTATTCAATTATGATCTTGACGTGCCTTGATCTTGTAGTTCTTTGTACTCTTGCAAATATCAATATTGTATTTGAGTTGGTTATGTGAGTTGATGTTGAACCACCTCGTATAAAAACTTGCTATTAGAGGAAGAACAATTTATTTAGTTACATTCTTTAACATGAACTTCACACAACATGAGCCGAGCTTGGGTGTTTTAAGGGTCGAACCGGCTCGGCTCATTCCCTAAAACGTGCCGATAAAAAGTGACTTGAGTGTTTATAAATAGCCAGACATAGGCTTAGGTTTATTGAAACTCATTGCCATTTGGTTATTGAGAAAGGTAGATTTTAGTCTCTCAATTTCATTCTCAAAATCGGCATTCTTTTGTTGAATCAACATGTGATTTTTGTTATCCGTTCTTTATCGTATTCATACTGCACCCGGGGTTATAGGTTTCTAGTTTACGGGGTTGTAATTAGGCATAAAATTGCATCTTTTTAGAATAACTGATTTATTAAAAATAAAATATTGAAGTATGTTTGTAATAAAAAAATTACTTAGCACGTATGTTCAAGGAGAAGAAATAAAGAAAATGCAGTAGCTGTGTGACCATATGTTTTGATGGTAAGAAATAGAAGTAATTTTGAAAGTCTTGGGTCACAAGTTGATTTTATTGTAAGACAGATTAAAACACGCTAATACGAACCTATATTAGCTGTGTGTCCGTATGTTTTGATCTAGTTTGAGTTTTTAACTGTGGTCCTTAAACCATTATTGGTAGATCATTTAATTTTGATTGTTCGGGTATATTCGATGCACATGTATTTGTTACTTGACCCTTACTTGCTCGGATATGCTTGGCGTACTTGTACATAAGTTTTGATCTATGAAATTTTACTTTTATCGATCAATAAAATAAAAATAAATATAAATGAAGAAAATGAAAGAAAAAAGATTGGTTAAAGTTTCGGACGAGAAAAAGATCGGTATCTTGGCCATGTCCAAAACCACTCAAAATTCAAGAACCCACTTTTTAGTATTTACCTCAACAGCACAAAATCAGAACAATCGCTCTACGGTAGCCAAACATTGAAGAACAAGAGGGAAAAAAAACTATGGCCTATATTCTGCCAAATCTTTCTCCAATTCTGCTCCAATCTAAAGAAAAATACCCGGCTATTGTTTTCCACCAACAATCTTCTTCTCCTGCTCTTATTTCCCCATCACCAGTGTCAAGTTCTTCTGTTAATGCTCAGACCAAGCTTGAGCCGCCTCCACCTCGGGGTCTAGCGCAGGTGAACCGGACCCCTGGTGCGCAGGATAAGAACCAGAACCAGAAGGATGAATTTTATGTTAACCTAGGTTTAGCTGTACGGACCCTTCGTGAAGACCTTCCTTTAATCTTTACCAAAGACCTTAATTATGGCATTTACAGGTACCCTTTTGGTTATTTTGTTCATTAATGCTTATGTGTATTTGAATCTTGTAGTTTTATTCTTTTGGATTGTTAGAAATTTGAGATTGAGAATAAAGGATGGATTGGTTATTTGTTTATTTAATCAATTGGCAGGGATGATATAACATTTGTGGACCCTTTGAATACGTTTACTGGAATTGAAAATTACCAATTGATATTCTGGGCATTGAGATTTCATGGTAGAATTTTATTCAGAGAAATTTCATTAGACGTGCTTAGGATTTGGCAGCCGTCTGAGAATATGATACTCATCCGATGGAACTTGAAGGGTGTCCCTCGGGTTCCTTGGGAGGCAAATGGACAATTTCAGGGCACATCACGATATAAATTGGATAGAAATGGGAAAATTTACGAGCACAAGGTTGATAATCTGGCATTTAATTTCCCACAGCGATTGAAACCAGCAGCTTCAGTTTTGGATATGGTTGTGGCTTGTCCAGCTAGTCCAAATCCAACATTTTTGTGGGGTCCCATGGACGTGCATTCATCGTCTTGGGTGGAACTTTATAGGACTGTGAAGGAGACGTTGGATAGCCAAGGATCGATGACTGCTCAAGATTGCTTGGTTACTTGTTCATAGTGACAAAGGTTAGCTACTAGATGTTTTTCTTTATATACATTAGAAGATATATTATAAATATTAGTTACATGTTTATTTATAACTTTTGAAGTCTAAATAAATCAAATAAACAAGCTCTAACTCCATCGTTTGTGCGCCATACTCATGGAACTTCACTGCTATAACGAGCATCGTTAAGCTGTCACAAGCAATCGATATTTTGCCCTATCTTGCTGGCGCGTAATCTACCACAACTGAAAGAAAGAAAATAAATGTAGGAAGAAAGCATTAGCCAAGTTTGCATGGAAAAACAGGTGTATATATTAGATGTAAAGATCTTAAATAGTTCATCATATGTTTGTATAATTGTGAAAGAAAATACTGGAGCGCGCGTTAGCTAATAAGGTGTTTGTGTAAAACAGAATAATCTGTTATTGATTTTGAGGAAGTTCATTCATGGTGATTCTATTCTTAAATGATCTTTTCATTTTGCGACATTCTAGTCTAACTCCCACTCTTGATAGCTTAAATGCCTTTCCCTGTTTAGGAGAGGCAAGATGATAAAATGATCAAGATTTTGACTTCTTTTTATATTATAGTAAAGTCAGTACCGTAAAAACAATTTTTTTTTTTTTTTTTTTTTGGACAGAACAAAAAAATCGCTTCTTTTTCCTAACGGATCCAAGAGCCCCTTGGCTTGTGGTTATTTTTTCTTCTTTATAATGGGGGATAAGCTTCATGGTCGAGAGGTTATGTCCAACTTTTATCTTCCGTCTTGTTTGTCCAAGTGAGGAAAAGGAATTCAAATACTATGTTTTCCAACTTTTAAAGGATATAGATGTGTAATCTGCACTCTCTGTGTTTCCAATTTTTGGCAGGATTTGATGTTTTTATCATGTTTTATAAGATTTGAACTATTAACTTCATTTTTAGTTGGCAATGCCAAGTTTACGTGTGTGAGTTCGCTTGGAATAATGATTCAGCCATTACATCCCTTTGTCCAGCCTGTAAACTGGAAATCAAAAAAATGGAAAGGGAAGAATTGAAGGGAATTGAGCTTCAAATTTCTAGATTCACTTCCTATTTATTGCTGTTGTACCACTTGAATATTGATTCACTCCCCTAACTAGAGATGGAACTATTGATGTATTAACGTCAAATCTCTAGTGACAGCAGATTATAATGGAGCAGTAGCTTGAAGTACACCTGTCAAACGTTAAGAAGTCGCTTTAAGACTTTGCATTTATGGGGAAAACAGAACATAGATGAAGCATGCCCGGAAAGTGTGGTGTAATCAAAGCTTCACATATCTGTCTCATAGTCGAGTCGTGTCGGGTCGGGTCGGGTCGGGTCGGGTCGGTAGAGCAGTTCCAGCAGCTTTGTGGAACTTCAGAATCATCCCTGCACTCCCTGTATCATGAAACAAAACTTCTATATGAATAATTATAGACTAATGCTTTAGCATCGGTCTGTGACAATAAATCCAGCACAAGCAATTTTGATTGATATAACTCAGTGCTAATGAGTAATGAAGACTTTCGTACTACATTTTTTTTTTTGTTGTGGCTCATGTTTAAGCTCTAAAGTTACTTTTTATTCATTTATTTTAAAATATGGAAAATATCATATTTATGAGATTAAGTATGGTCCATTTCAAAATTAAGAAGTAAGGTTTAAAACTCAAAAAATCAAGTATTACTTAAATTTTATTATAAAATAATTAGTTAAAAATATTTTTACCATATTATATGATCATAAATTATCGAATTAATTGATCACATTATTTCTCGGTATCGAATTAAAAATTTTATAATTCACAAATTATTAAAATAATTTATCACAATTTAATAAATTATAAATAACGATTATAAAATTAGTCAAAATCTCAATTTTATTTTTTACATCATACGTTATTTATTGGTCACGCCAGTTAAAAAATCTGATTTACACTATCCATTTAATACATTATCAATTCATAATTATTTATTATTCACACCATCTATAAACATCCGCAACATGCTTACATTAAAGTACTTATCCAACGACAATCTACTTTTTGTTTGCGTATTTTGTAAAATCAACCAAACTCCATTGAAATGTTATTGGCAACATACAGCGCTGTAAAAACCATTAATAATGTAGTGCATCAGTGACTCTAATTTGTTGCTTGATTAATTCTCACAGAAATTAAACCCAAAAATAAAAAAGGAATATGTAGTCTGGTTTTTGAAAGGTAAAAATAAATACGAATATGGAGTATCCCGGCATACAATGTCCAACAGAGATAATGGATTAGAGAAACAACAGTATAAATTTAATTGCTTGAAACAAAACTATACACTGGCAAAGCATATGCTGCATACGAAAATATTAATAAAATAATTCAAAAATAAAAAAAATATAGTTACATTTATAATAAATTTACATTGTTCTTACAAAAAATGCTCTGGCCAATAAGACCGTGATTGGCTTCCCGTTTTCGGCCCATTTTTCGTTTTCCGTTTTCGAAAACGCGAAAAACGAGTTTGGTCCGTCGTTTTCAAAAACGCATTTTCGAAAACGAGTTAAAATTTATAACTGAAAATGCAAAACGACTTTTTATCGTTTTCAGCATTTTCAGTTATAAATGTCGAAAACGCTCAAAACGCGGAAAACGGGCCATTTTCGGGGAAAACTAAAAATCGTTTTGAAAATGAAAATGGAATTTCTCATTTTTTTTAACGTGCTGGAAAGATTATGTACCTGGTATAGTCTTCAAGAATATTTTAGTATGATTATTGATGAGAACTGGTCTCGATTTCATGGGCAAGTTCTTTTGTCAGCTTATCAGCGCGGTCGTCTTGTCCACCGGCAAATGTATAAACTCGGAATTCAAACTGGAAAGCCTTCCAAAGCATTTCAGCAGATCCATTTTTCCTCCCTCAAGTTCTAAATTCTTCCTTTTCTTTTGCTTCCAAATCTCTGTTCTCCTGAATAAACATCCCATTGATATTTTCAAACAATTCCATTCCTGTTGACACATAAAAATTCAGCCCAAATCGAACAGCCCAAGGAGTAAAGCCCAATTGAAGGATCCCCAAATCGGATAGCCCAAAGAACGAAGTCCAATCGAACGAATCAAGGTGAAAGCCCAAATAAGGGGCTCAAGAATGCGGTAACGCCATCGACCAAGTTTACAAGTCGCCCAGAATCTGAACGAATGGAGTGTCATACGGTCGCCCAGAGCTGTTATTCTACTCTCGCCCAAACCTTCAAGTCGCCCAAGGTATCAACAAATATAACGCATCGTGGTTATCAAAGAATGCAGTTATCAAGGCAGTTGTTAAAGTAGCCTTATCACGTTCCACGACTCAAGGAATTCAATCGAAAGCAGTTGAACGATGAAAGATAATGGCAGCAGTTAAAAGGCAGTTTCATGACAAAATGGTCACTACAAAGAAAGTGGGTGGTTATAGGACGATCAAGCAGTTTTTGGGGTAGTTAATCACAAAGAGATCGTCTATGAGGTATAAAAGGGAGAAAGGACGCAGAAGCAAAGGACCGAATCCAAAACTCTCGAACAGAGAATATGTAATTTTCATTTCCTTAGCTTTTAGACTTAAACATTTTTCTTTCTGTAACTCGTGTGCTTGCGCCCCTTGGAGGCACGTTGTTTTTCATTCCCAATTGTAACGTTCATCGCCAATAAAAAACCACCCCTTTTTTGGACTTTGTCTCAAGAGGTTTCGTCCCTTGCACAATCGCCTGATCCTTTTTAATTGTTAGCGACTTAACCCGCGCGAAACAATTTGGCACGCCCAGTGGTGTTAGGTGTTGAAAATACAAAAGGTGAAACAATATGCCTCAGAGATCCGACAAGGAAGGAGCAAGTCAGGGAGGAATCCAGTCTGTAATCGAGCGATATGAGGAGCAGCATGCCTCTCCACGAACAGATGGACAAAATCAGAGCAGTAACAGTC